TTGGATGCCATGCGTCACAAGAGAGAGAGATAGCTAGCGGTCTCTCATCTTCTTTTTCTTTCTACTAGGACACTTTTAGAGCCGCCTTCCCCACTCTATTATATCTCTATACTCACGAGTCACGACTCGTTTTTGTACAATAGGTAACTGGCAAAGAATAAATCAAACGACTGGTTCATCGGTTGTTAGTTACCTAGTAAGTAATGCAATTTACAATTATTGTGAATGTATCAATTAAACATATAAGCCATTTTACTATACGTGTTACATTATATAGTCTGATATCTAGTATTTCCCTGCTTGGTATAGGATCGGTGGCATATTGGTAGCGTAGGAATTTGCTAGAAATTGCGAACTGGGATTTTTGCAGAGTTTGTAAGGGACGCAATTACTTTTTATTTATTCATGCCTAAAATAAGTGTACAATAGCAAATCGGGAAGCTGTGACTGCAGTAAAACGATATTTACCAGATATAAGGCAAAATGTCCGTCGATGGCTTCGGTACTTTTTTGGGTAATTTTAAGCAGATATTCCCGCTAATACTTAGAAGCCCGACCCGAGCAACGTAATCAGAATATGAAAAAGCGTCATAATGCTAAAAAATTACAAAAAGTTAATGTTCCATGTTCCAAATAATATTACATGAAAAGTAAGAAACAAAGTGGTACCTACTTTGTTTCTTACAAAAATAAAAAAAATAGATAGGACTTCGTCATTTCTGGAATTTGTGTCAACCGCCTATAAAACTCTCTACAACTCGAAACACAATTGGCCACTATTCGCTCTTTACTTTAAAGTACCTGCATATAGGTAACTTTATTTTAAAAACCGACCAAGTAGTGCGTGTCATGCCATACATAGTGCTAGGGTTCCGTAGTTGCCCGTCGTTACCACAATATTATAAATCAGGCGCTTTTGTACTTTTTATATGTAAGATACTTTACTTTTAATATTTAAATAAATTAAATACAAATGCCAACAATAAGTATTTTTTATACTGTATAAAAAAACTTTGACACTGTCAAACTAGCCATTGATTACTCACGTACGCGTACGCCATATGGCAACGCGATAGGCTATTATAATGGGTTTTACGTTAATATCAAGTTTTCTTGGAAAAAAAAAGGTAGTTTTGGGTAACTACCTGGCGATTTCGGGAGCTTTTATTAACAAAAACTGACAAATATAGTAATATAAGTTATTTACGGGATTGTTACCATGTACCTTGTTTTTAGCGAGTTTCCGATATTTCGGCACTTGCAAGCGCTATGATCACGGAGTAACTGAAGTAATTGCGGGTAGGCTGTTATTGGCAGACATATCGGTCTACCCTCCGACGAAGTCTACCATGAAAGTTTAAAACAAAAACTGACAATATTTCTCTACATTGTTATAGTGCAGTCATTGAAGCATTATTGCTCGGAATTTTTGACGTGACAACGTCTTAAATTAGGTTGCGGCTGGGAGTCACTTATGAAAAAGTGTAACGCTCGGTAACGTTACGATGAGTCTCTCGTGTTAAGTTTAAGTTTACATGTACAATGTTTTAGTAAACAAAATATATTTCTATAGTTAAAATTTGTGCAATTCTTATTTTCATTCAATTCCTTGTTCCTATTGTGCAATTTAATTATATTCATATCAATAAATATTCTACCGAGAAAAAGACGTTGTCACGTAAAATCTTCGCCCGTAAAACCGACTTTACAGGCAACCATTTTTTTACTGTGAACCGAATTGCATACAATTTTGGAATTAGGTTCATCTTACCCTTAACTTCAAAAGTGAAAATGATTTGATCTCCGCACCCCTTCTCGGGGGCGTTTTTTTTTCGATAGAAGGCCTAATTTTAAGCAAAAAATCATCTATAAAGTTTTTCAAAAAATCCAATACTTTTCAAGTTATTGGCAATTGAAAATTCGCGTTTTTTTGAAAATATCGCCAAAAATGTACGTTTTATCGAAAATTTTATAAAGAAGAAAATTGTAGCAGGTAAAACAATGAACAATTTGGTTTTTTATAAAGTATTCTAAATGCAATATTAAGCTAGATATTAAAGACCAAAGCCGTTTTTTATTTTGTCTGAATTTTAATCGATGTGGTCAATGCCATCTAGCGGTGAGCATATGCATTTTATGCATTCTAATACAAAAGGGTTTTGTAGTGCTTGAAATAACCTTAAAAATGAGCACTATTAAGTCTTTTGCACGTAAAATAAGTGAGCTGTATTGCAAATAAGGGGAGCATCTGATGTTTTTTCTTTTAAATCAATGGGTTTCATGGGCGCAATCACAGCTTCTCTTAAGCCCTTTAACCCTTCACCGTTTTAGAAAAAGGTTTTTTACTATATATTGCAATGAAAGATGTTGTAGCTCTCATGATTACCTTTACAATGGTTTTTTTATAAATTGTGATAGCATGAAAATTGAAGGAGTTATGGCCCAAATACTTATCATATTTTTTTCTACTTAGTAACTGAAAATTTCGGAGTGTGAATATTTGGAACAATGTGAAAGTACGCAGTATAATAGAGACCCACAACTATTGTAATGTGTATATATATATACATAATATGGCTCATATATTTTGGAAACGTAGGCATGAATACATACCAACGTTCTTATATATATATATATAACACATTTAAGTGAAGGGGCCAACGAAAAAGCCATGTGATCCGCTGTGCATGCTCCGTTTATTCGTTATAATGTGACCAGTATATTTCCGTCTGCAAAGGAATGAGCACGTGTTTAATATAATATTTATCTAGACACCCAATTTCAATACATTTTGTTTAATAAAAAAAATGTATTTTTTTAACAATTTTTTATCAAGGGGTAGTTTTCAAGGGTTGAAAGGGGGTTAAAAATTTGATAATTATTATAGAGAATATAAAATATTGCTTACTCCATACTTACATCTTTTTATATCATACCAAAGTATTTTTTTATGATTTTTTCAATTTAGGGGTTGTTTGCAAGGGTTGTAAGATTTTCAAGGGGTTGAAAATGATTTTAATATGAGGTAATTATGTTAAAAAATACTTTACAATTTCACCACTTACTATTAGACATGTTTTCTAGCGATAAATGGCTCAATGTCAATTTTTCCATTAACGGTTGTTTACACCCCTTAAAAATAATAGGTGGAGTTCAGATCATTTTCACTTTTGAAGTTAAGGGTAAGATGAGCCTAATTCCAAAATTTCGTGCAAATCGGTTTACAGTAAAAAAATTCGGAGGTAAGACCGTATTTTTCGCTTCAATGACTGCACTATTAATCTCATATCAAGTTGAGTTTACTTGGGGTAATGGGGGACAGTTATGGGGAACTTGCCTTTAACTGCCTGAACCTAGTGATTTCACGGGCCTAATTGTGCAAGTTCTTCACTTTTTGCTTTGCACGATCCCATTCATTTCATAGTTGTAGTTATATCATGATAACACATTTCTTTAGCTTTGAAGGCGATGGCGAAAATCAAAAAGTTGGCTAGCTAGGCCTAACTAATTCCTAGGTCCATAGGAATTCTCTAGCTTGGTTTGTTAACGGCCGTTGTTCCACTGGACACCTGGCTAATGTTAATATTTATCTATCAAATCAAAACAAACAAACTTACAGAGACGTGGTAGACTTGCATGCGAGTTACTTAAAAAGCAATGCGCACCGTGCGTGTGATACTCAGTAGGGCGTCAAATAGAGGTTTGATAAATTAAAAAAGGGGTGGCAAAATAATACTTTTTCGACCCACGTGTCTAAGGCCCACACACAGGTATTTTTACTGGTTAATATAATGAATTAAATGTTAGATATAATCACCAAAATAAATGGAAGTATTTTAAATAAGTTAATATTAATACCCGTGAATGTTACGCTCGTTACCTTCAAATATGGCCACGCAACGCTTACGAAAGATATAAATTCATTTTCGGATCTTCACATAACGACTAATTTGCTATGATCTATTATCTAACCAAACTATTACGCATAAAACCACTAATATAGTTTGTAGCAAACGTGGGAAATATTTTTAATGTTCCGTGTAATTAAAACACTAAACACAATAACACGAAATCGCAATAGCGACAATAGTTCGACCAAATCAATACGCACTAGTTTTGAAGTGAGAAATATTGCGTAGATAGAAGTAGGTACAGTTAGAGAAAAAAATCAAGTGTCGCATTGTTATTTATGTTCACAAAAAATTCACTCAAATTCATAGAGCAACACCGCCGAGAGGCATACAAATGTCACATTGGGCATAAAACTGGGCATACTCACTATATAGGTGTGCACGATTTGGCAGTGTATTGTGTCATTGTTTATGTGTGTGTTGTAGTTACAGTTTTGTTTCTTACGCATTTACGTTAAACTGCATCAATTGGTGTGCATATCCCCCCCCCCCCCCCCCCCGCGCGCAAAAAATGTCAGAATGATTTGGATAGTACTATGTCGCTGTGGATACGCCCTTCCGTATTGCTCTATGCTCAAAATACATTTGTAAAGCGGTGAACAAAGACAAAAGTTTACATGTTTATTAGAGCTGAGATAGGCTAAAAATTATGAAAGCCAGCAGTACAGGTGAGATGTGCTTTTAGATACTCATCACCAAGTTCATTATTTGAACAAGTCCATGTGTGGCATCTCAAGGAATTGAAGTTTGTATAGTTACAAAACCTGGCTTTCTTAATCAAGTACAATCAATATTACACAGTCAATGGTTTTTATAGCAGTCCCAGCGAACTTCGTTCCGCCATAAAAAAAAATAGGGGTTGGTGTTAGGAGGGTGAAAATTTAGGGTTGTATGTATTTTTGTATGATGTATCATAAAAACAAAAAAAATGTCTAAAAAAATTTTTGTTTGGGACCTCCCTTAACATTTAGGGGGATGAAAAAAAGATGTTATCGGATTCTCAGACCTACTGAATATGCATAGAAAATTTCACGGAAATCAGTCGAGTCGTTTCGGAGTAGTACAATTACGCACACCGTGACACGAGAATTTTATATATTAGATATAGTAATTGCGTATGTTTCAAAATAATTTATTACTTATAATAATTCTAATGCCGACTGTACATAACTTTGGCGTCATGCGTCTCGAATCATCTCAATTGATCAAGTTTTCACAATGGCCTGTTTTATACCTGTTGAGTAAAAATTTCTTTCTCTATCATCGACCCAAGGTCAAGTAGCTACACTGATTGGTAACAACATTTTTATTTTGATAGCTATAAATTCGAAAGATTACTAATTATTCGGATTCTGTATAATTTGAATGAGTGGAATCGTATTAAAATCACAAATATTACCATTAATTTACTTCTTTATTGTATATCGCCGGTATAGTAGGTACTTACTATCCGGCAATTTTAAAATGCAATATTCAATTTATCACTTCGAACAGCAATGCCGAAATATTTTGTACACATGACAACATATTATGCGAACCTTAATAAAAAAAGTTAATTATTTCAAAGACAGTTCATATTTCAATTTTTTGTCTAGTGTGGCAAGGTATACTTTGGATACCGTTTATTTTTACAAATTAATTTATAAGTACTTTAACCAAACTCACAGAGATTGGTAGTTGTCACAATGAATAGGTATTTTTAGAATAAATATAATAAAAAATACAGATTCTTGTATTTTATGATATAAAGTGAAAAAAAATATCACAAGAAACCATCAAATAATAAAGAATGAAAAGATTTGTACAGACAATCTCAAAAGTTACTTCCAGAGTCACACATTTTTCAATAATTTATTTAATAAAGAGCTTTTTTCAACTCATACTTTTCAAACGCGGATAAACATTCCCATTAATTTATATTATTAATAGGAAGGGGAACACACAAATCAAAGTACTGTCAACTTAAACATTAAGTATAAAAAGCGGGTAATAAAAATAATATAAAAAGAAGTTGTATCTTTTTAACATCTAAATAAATATCAAAAGATAAAGACACCTTAAACTATTGACTACCGCAGAAAATTTATGCAGATGCACAGCATACTACGATTCGTATGGCGAATATCTCACTTTAATGCCGGCACTTCAAAGGGTTATTCGTATTTGCTTTGTAAACGTGACAACGAGATTGTTCTTTTCACCTCTAAAATATGATAAGGACAACGAGCTGACAAAATGACATACCAAATACGAATAGCCATGTCAAGAGGCGGCATAGCATTATTAATTAGACGGACTTCTGTGGCCCTACCACGAACCAAAATCACATTCGAATAGTTGAATTCGATCTATTTTATAAGTCAAATGTGTACTGACTTTTAGTCCTCACTTCATCCGCTGTGGCGCTACTGTTAAAGTTTCCATACAAAATTTGACATTAAAATTTCGCACTCGCAAACTATTCGAATTCGATATTGGTTCGTGCTAAGGGTACTGTATCGGTTTAAAGTTCATAGAAATCCTGATTTTAATACATCACTAGTATTATTAAGGGTTACTTTTAGTTTATTTGTATCAGTATAGGTAGCGGCAAACTTCTTGAGTAAAACCATAGACATATAAACTTACGCAGAAGAAGTTTTTGTATGTGAAATTGCTACTGCGCAGGCTTCGATGTCTATGGTCGTTGCTCAAGAAGTTTGCCGGGAGATTTACCTACTTTAGCCCTTAATTCCGTGTAGTTATATATCATGAATATTTTGTAAATGAGCCTCTCCTGCTTAAAACTACTGATGTCAAAATTTTGAAATTAATTTTAAAAGGTTGAATCAGTTTGAGAAATTAAACAGTTTGATTGCATCGATTTTTGAAAAGGTAGTGGTATATTAAATTAAAGGATCCCGAACGTATTAAGCCCATTAAGAAGCTGTGGTGAGGAAAATCTCAACTATAGTATTTAATTACTACCGTTTGTGTATTTTTAATGAAAATATCCGTGAATTAACCAGTGGATATAACTTACATAAAATAATTATGTACCTACTTGTTTTGATACTGTCTGCACAAATTCATTAAAGCAAAAATTAATATAGGCAAATTATACGATATATAATTATTCAATTTCCCATATGAAAATGATAACAATGAAAAATATACAAAATGGTCGTCAATGTGATAGCTATCTTATACAGTAAATCAAAATAATTATTTTAATCTGATCCATATTTTGTCGATTCTTATTTGAGTAAATGTCTATAAAACACAACTCTGGTATAGTTAATGTTACTACATTTAATGAAATCATTTCGACATCTGCAACAGAAAACATCTTAACTCAGTTTATGGTACACGTATTCTTACTTGGCAAAAAATGCTTGCTATTTGTATTTATTACCGCATCTAAATGCCGTACCATAAAATACGCGCGTATATTTATAACAATTTTGTAAAACGAAAAACAATCTTTTCCTTAGATTTTTTTCTCTAATTTAAGTATCTGTAAATCTAAAGAAAATTATTACTAGAAAAATCCACTCAAACGAATTCGACAAGATTTATTGTCTTTTTCATACTCATGCATCTTGCAAAGTTATTAAAACTGAGTTACAATGTTTTCTTTGCAAGGGTCGATATATTACCGTGTCTTTGAAAAAAAAATCTGATGCCATTTTGTTTTTTTTTTTTGTAAATTTGATCAACTTCATATGCTTTTCCTCCAAATGTCGTAAACATTAGCAAAAAATAATACTGCTAAGCAAATAAGTTAGAAGATCAATTTTATGTAAAATCTAAAATTTGACCTATATTTTAATAAATTTCACATTAAATGTTTTCATAAACTCGGATAGGATAAATAGGGAGTTATAGGACTATGTCCCGCATACAACCATGGTCTTGACTAAAATAAAAGCATAAAATGCTCAGCTAACCCGGCTTAGCACACGTTGTCATAGACAAGAAAAACGGTAAATATTTTACGTTTTAAGTTTGTAAATAGAGACTACTTAAGTATGATTTCATTTAGAACTACCTTTTCCTTATGCTTAAAATTTAAAAGCTTTAAAGTTCTGAATCATACTATGTATGTATATAATCTAAAATAACATATCATGTTCACGTCACCCTTGTCTACGAAAACGCCTGCTAAAATTATTCAATCTGACAACACACCAAATTAGGCGATCAAAAGTTGGTATTATACAAAACATGTTCACACTCAGATCATTTTCAATAATTAGTATTAAAAATCATAGATAAATAAATCTATACATTCAGTACTCGCAAACATGCCTACCATGTAAATCAACACATATCACTGGTCTGTCAAATGGTTACATGAGAACTACAGTCTAAAATACCTATGGGCTCCTATCTAATCTAATATTATTTTGATAAATACTCCATACAAGCTATATTCGACTTAAAACTAAATTTGCAATGTATCACATCCAATGATCAACCCATAGCGATAGTATTGGGACGACTTCTTTACACATAATATCATTTACAGTTGTGAAGTTATGTTTAATTTATTTGGATTTCTAAATGTGGAAGTCAGGACATTTACTTGTAATAAATTAATTGATTTCCATGAATATTCCTATCACAAGAATTACAAACGTTCTTTATAACCATTAAACTGAGCGAAATTATGTTTCAGTTCCGATATATCGGAAAAGTTATCATTAATTTGGGAAATGCATATTAATTAATATAAAAACTTCAGTGACCTACATTTCTGACGAGTAACAAACGGGCTAAGTATAAAAGAGTTAACATAGACAAATCTTCATTTATACGCATTTATTACACATTTCAAACATTTATTTAGGATATACAAACATTTCAATTCGTCACTTTTAATAGCTGATCTGCATTACGTATCAACACGAACAAAGGAGTATTGGTACAAAGGTACATTCGGAGAAGAAAAAACAAGACAACCAGCTTTCGTACCCGTCGTCACGCAAATTAAAGCCATACTACGCGAACATAACAAGCTAATGCTATTCACTTCGGTTGCGCACTTCAAAGGAACATTCACTCGAGTATTTACCGCTAATCGAATATGCTATGTACGCCATCGATATTACACTAATGTTTGAGTGTTCCACGAGAGTTTACCACTGAGGGTTGGGTGGTAAATAGCCCTCTGGATTTGGGGCATGAGCGGGGGCGGGGGCAGGAGCGGCAGCGGGCGCGGGCGCGGGTGCGGCGTACGGAGATGCGGCGGACGGCCCGTAAGGATAATACCCGGGTCCGTAACCCCCATAATATGCGGGATTCGGATACGCCCCATATCCCATCCCGTAACCTGCATAAGGTAAACAAAATATTATATGAAATTAGACCTGTGTGTTTTTAATACTCGCGCCGATAAAGGAACGAAAAAATGACGACATCTAGTCAGGATTATGTGAAAGAAAGGTCTAGCGGCGACAATATTTTCGTTTCTTTTCTTTTTGGCGCGAAGCATAACATGAGGTTATAATGTGTGTGAATATTTACACCTTTATATTGTGCTTAGAGATGCAGTCTTTTGAAATATTCGATATCTATATCGAAGTCAAGCAAATATCGATATCCGATATCGACACTTCGTACGCGATATCATCGATAATATCGAATTTTAGTATGCATTTTTATAGCTATGTAAATTTTAGTAGGGGTGCAGTTTTTTGCAATATCTATATAACGAAGTGAGATAAAGATTGATATCCAAAATATCGACCATATCAACGCGATATCTATCGATATTTTCGGAATCCTTTGCAGCTGAAGCAGTAGTGTTTTTCCAACAAAACTGTAAAGCTTTATAATAAATTGGCTATAACAAAGGCAATGCAGCCTACCTTCCCTTAACCATTATTTGCTCTAAAGTAGACATGCAACGAATATTTGATTCGAATTCGAACGATTATTAATATAATAACATGTAGATATTCGGTATTCGGCCTATTTGGCTGCTTTTATTATATTCGGCCGAATACCGAATATCTACATGTTATTCGGCCGAATACTTAAATAATATATTTTGTCATAGACAAATAATTGGTAAAATTAAAAATTAAAATCGATTGATTATGTATATATTCATATTTTCATTTCTGTTATATATACTCATTTAAGTAGTCATTGGTACATAACACAGGTACATAATCATCTTCTGAATAAGAAAAATGGAGGGTTTTATGTATTTGAATTATTGTGGTAATCAAAATTTAGAAGGGTAAGGATCTCATTTCTTTTATAGTCATTTAATAAATAGTCATTATTACATAAAACAGGTACATAATTTAATCATTTTCAGTATTAAACAAGTTAACAGTTTTAATTCATTCAGTCATGTGATGAATGGTTACATAATAGCAATAATTTAAAGTTTACGCGCCCTTTTTGGCCATATCTCAAAAGTTGGTTTTGTCATTTAGCCGCATTTTAGCTTGAGGATGGCAGATTAGAACAAAACAAAGGAGCGCGAAACAATCACGTTTGTACAAGTTTTTGGCGCTAAAATCCAGCGGAATACTTTTGCCAAATATTCGGCTATTCGGTCAGGGGCCTCGCCGAATATACGGTATTCGGTATACTGCCGAATTTACTATTCGTTGCAAGTCTACTCTAAGTAATTAATAACAAACAAAATAATTTACCGTTTTTTGCGTCTCTCAGTTATTTAAAAATTGACAACTCACTCATATCAAACTCCCTCCAAAAAGAACTCACACTGGTTGAGGTTGTAGTATTTTCTTCAAAATTATTAACAATTTTATTCATTGTACGGCTTTAGGCTCTTGCAATTTAAAAGGTTAGTTTTGGTATAACATAATTTGCAATCAATTTGATTTAAATAGTAATAGCACTTAGAATAAATATATATTAAATATGAGGAGCTGGCGAACACAACGGTTTAATTACGCATATGGTTTTGACCATATACTACTTTTTTTTTACAACCCGGAGGTTTTGGGCAGCTGAAATTGTATTTAAACTCATGTCAATCAAAACCGCCTAAAGTAGTGTTAAAAATACTAAATTAAAAATCACGACAAAAGCTCACTGTAGCTATGTCATGCAGTTTTTTACTGCTCCTGTAAAGTGTAATTTGATGTAATTATACCATTTTGTTCGCCAGCTCCTCATATGTATAAAGAACAACGGGCAAAAAACACCCAGCTCCGAAAACAATGCAATTAGTATGAATCGAAAGATCTATGACAAATTAGTCTTTTTTATTATGACACCGTAAAAAATATCCTGGTAATCGAAAGCTATGACACATGGGCATATTTAAGTAGCTAAATAAATTCATTTTATAGTACCTTCATTTTATATTATTAGTAATCATAATAATATGCCATATCGTACTATACAACCAGATATACGACAAAGCCTGCCGACCACCCTGCGCTTGCACGTACTGAGACACCTCAAAACGGTTTACGGGGTAGGGTTACGGGGGTTGAAGGACTTGCAGTTTGCAACTAGTCGACTCATATGCAGTCCTTTGTCTTACTTCGTTGTGATTGTGCGCCCCCTGTCACTTGATTGTTTTTTAACTAACACGCTTTGGACATTGGAACCCCATTATCGATTTTGTGAATTAGTATGGATGAACTGTGGACAAGTTTGTGTGATTTTTGGTCGCTCTGTTTTACTTAGAAGACAATTTACTACAATGAACTGACTGTTTGAAAAAACCGAACCCAGGATTAACTCGAACGGACTAACTAAATTAATTCCCTTGTTTCATTCATGTTCGTTCGTTATACTACTTGTAGGTACCTATTTAACTTAAAATAAGTAAAGACCCCCGGGATAGAATTTTATGCGCTTTGGCACATATGATCATGCCATACCTTTCTATAATACCTTTCTAACAAATTTAGTTTAAGCTGTGGCGGACATGGATGCAGAGTTCATGCATTTTTGCCCAATAAGAATATTCCTTCCAAATATCGATATTTTGGGTTATCCTATATAGAGTTTTTATTGACAATATAGATTTCTCGATATATCATTGCAACCCTAATTGTGGCATTGTAGAATACTCGTGTATTATCGACGTTCCACGTTTGTTTTTAACGTAAGGAACATCGAATAATATGAAAATTTACAAACAGCTTAATATAATATAGGTATAGTAGTGTTTCATTAAAAAATCTAGCTATTTTTATATGAACCAAATACATACAAGGCTTATCAAGAGTGCAAACGAATGTAATAAAGAAACTTACATTTCAAAACCTCATAGTGATGTATAAAAACAGGTCGAATCTTTGCTAGTCGCCTAACGAAAATGTATCAATAAATGTCCGAGCGGCGCTGTCTTACACATATACATTTTGAAAGTGTGGATCTGGTCTCATAAGTACAGTTTTTAACCAAACACTGTTATTGCGTGGCAATGCAACCAAAGCGCGGTCATAACACGACTGTTAGAAAATTACGCAAAAGACGCGTATGCGTAATTTTGTTTCGGACACTTTTTGAGCGCGATTGCGAGTCTGCTTTTTTATATGTCAATGCTCGTAAGACTTTTTTTTTGTGTTTTACATGCAGAAGAGTGCCAAAAAATATGCTATGAAAATAAAATATAGATGATAATTCTACTAACCTGGATACTGACCATAAGGTCCTTCCGGAGGTGGATTAGGAGCAGGGAATTGTTGACCAGGAGGCAAAGCGCCTTGTGGATGAGGCATTGCAGGAGGACCACTTTTATCCAAATCCCCATGGAACATGCCCGGCATAGGGTGTGGAACCCCTTGAGGTTTTGTTGGAACTCCTTGTGGATAAGGCGTTCCACCAATCACACCTTCAGGAGGTATTCCCATAGGAGGTCGACTCGTCAATCTTTGCGTTCCGACCACCGGATTTTCCATAGGCGCAACCGGGGCCATATTTTGCTCACCCTTCCTCGCCCTTTGTACGTTATTCGTGGTAGATCCCAGTAGACTAGACACACTGTGAGACATGCCCATACTGGCAGGCTGTCTTTCACTACTTTGAGATTCTGCGACCTCCACTTTCGTAGGATTCTTTTTCTTCCTCGATTTGGTTGCGGGCTTTTCCTCATTAGTTGGGGAATACGATTGCGTTATGTCATCCAAGTTTCTACGGAAATCGGGCAAACCCTCTTTGTTTAAAACACTGGCCGTTCTTTCTAGCTGTAATAAGCTAGATTCAGTCGGGGGCCGATTCCCTTGCCGCTGGTGTCGATAATTCTTTAGCAAATTAATTTTTCTTTCGACTGGTTCATTCACGTGAATGTCATGTTCCGGTTGGGGCATCTGCTGTTCCATTTGGGGCATTTGTTGTTCTATTTGGGCCAATTTGTGGTCCATAAACGGCGTTTGCTGCTCCTTTTGCATCGGCTGTGGTTCAACTTTAGGCATCAGCCTCTCCATTGGTAAAGACTGCGCTTTTACATTAGGGGCATTCTGCTTTTGGCTTTGTCGTACATTTTTTGTTCTTTTCGCTTTTTGCTGCAATATCTTTATTTCAGACGATAACTCCTGATTGGTCTTATTCTCTAAGGCTTCCTCTGAAGGTAATGTCTCATCGGTAGTCAAAACGAGTGGTTCTGACGGTGTGTTAGACTTTTGCTCTTTATTTTGTTCCTGGCTCGTGGAAGACGACGATTGCTCGCGACTTTCGATGTTTCCATCGTCTTGCGATCTACTACTTGGGGACAGCGAGTTATCTTGCTTGCTAATTCTAGTTTCGTCATCATCACTGTCCAATACTTGTGTGTCGTCCTCGGAATCGACTTCCATTCTATTAGCCGTGCTGTTATCACTGTTCTCATTATCCGACTTCTTAGTGTCTTTAGTTATTTTGGTTATACTGACTGATCCCGGAAGGTTGGGTCTCATTAATCTGCCTGGAGGAATCGGTGATCTAGGCCGCATGCCTGAATACGATCTCAACTCATTCAATCTACTTCTAATGTCTGCAATCTTCTGACCAGGCATTACTGGCCTCATTTTGTTCATCATGGGAGGCCGTGAGAGAACTCTCTGATATGCTGTTGGTCTTTGCCCTGTTTTAGAAGTGATTGTAATAGCAGAGTTATTCTTTAGAGAACCCGGAATATTAGATGCAGACGGCCGGCCGCCTAGAACTGCGAAGACAAAACAAAAGATTAGTATTTCTAACACTCAAGACTACACTAGCCACACAAATACTCATCTTCATCAGCCTATTAATGTGCCCACTGCTGGGGCACAGGCCTTCACTATGGATGGAATGTGGAGATTGGGCCAAGACACACCACGCGGGCCCATTGCGGATTGGCGGGTGCTAACGATTGCAGACGCAGCCGGGACCAACGGCTTAACGTGCCTTCCGAAGCACGGAAATAATATATAAGAAACTTATAAGAACAAAATTAATGACAAGACAAAATTCCACACGGATCAGGCAGCAGACGGACTCGAACCCGCACCCTCCGCTATCCGGGCAAATGTACTGACCATTATGCAACCGCGGCCCCAATTGCCGTGTCAAATTCTTTCTAGTATTTCTTAAGCTGCAAGGCAGCGCCATCTCTTCGCATTGGTAACCCGCAGTGTCAAATGAATACCATTACAAGTATTAAACATTCAAAAGCAAATTAGCCATTGTAATTATACTTTTATTTTTTAAGCACTAAACTGCTAGATGTTTAAATTAAAATTTATTTGTAAATTATAATATCCAGCCAAGCAGTCGGTGTCGTTTTGTTGAGATAATGACAATGACATGACTATTAACCAAAAAATTGTATATTTACCTTTCTTTCCTATGGGGCTGTCCTTATTGTCGCCAGGTTTCTGGCCTAATCCTTTGAACGAGGTTTTTATAGCAATGATTTTTCCTGACTCCAGCTGCATGTAGATTCCTTTCGGGGATTTCAACACCATAACGCGTTGGCCAGCCTTTAACACGATGTTGGTTTTCTCCGCAGAGTTTGTTGGAATAACGACATCTGGAACAAAAATATTGATTAATTTATATCTGCATGTATCTTAAGCAATTTTTAATATTTGCGACCGAATTTTTATTGATCGCGTCAAATTCACTAACAGAATGTTGTCTATGTTATTTCGTGCATACACTACCAATAATCCATAAAAAGGATCTTTTCTTTAATTGTGTATATTCTAGGTTTATGGAAGTACCTAATGAGGATCAATCACATAATAGCAAATCCGATTTCTTACGTACAATAAATATGTATGCTCAATAAATTACTGAGCTTTTAATACTAAAATTATTTATTTTTTAATTATTAAAATCTGTCAAGAAATTATGGTATGTATTACTAAAGTTTTTCTGAACTGCAGCTTTGAAACGCGCGCTCCAGCTAGATTCTTTACGATGACGTCATCCGTTATGATCCGTGCGACAGCTCGAACATATTCATTCACCGATACTTGACGCTTGTGCCGCGCGTGCATTATTTGATTTTTAGCTGTGTTAAATAATTTATTTTTGTTTCGAGGGACCCAGTGATTAATTAAATAAGTGTGAGGTTTATCGTGGGATTCGGAGTAAAAAATAAATAAAACCTCAGTCAGTAGTCGTATTTTTTCATTTTCAGGTTTTTAGTCGGTTTTTTATATTTGAATTTTTAAATTTTTAGTGTAATACGGAATATGCTGGTTGGAAATTTTACACGCGTAGATCGATAGGAAGATCGGCGCGCGCGCTCCTCCAATCCATCTAAGCGGATCCCAGAGGTGGCAGCGAGAGCTGCGCTGGCAGAAGTTGCGCTGCACTGCCTTAGCCAAACGCCAAAAAGTATGGGAGCCCATGGGATGCATTAACAATATGGAAGATGCAAATATAATATTTATGAAAATTGTATGATTAAAATGTTAAAAAAATATAAAAGAAAGGCCACTGCAACGTTTTTATTTTACATAATGTTGTTTTTTAACAATAATTACGAATTCTAAATAACTTGAAAAAAAAAACTTATTTTAAAACACCAATCAGCGTTTAGTGACGTCACTCCTGTCATGACAACTTATTAGAGGTTATGGTTGTAAAAGTGAATATTATTTTAATAGGAATATTAATTGCATTTTGTAATAAAAATAGAAGTTGGGTTTATCAAAGCAGACTCCAGAAATTTACCAAGAGTGTTGACATGGTTGTAACTTTTTTTGTCCAAAGTGCAGAGTTTTCAAGTGTAGAAATAAATGAAAGGGACTAAATTACTTCGGTATGTATCTCTTATCTATTAGACAAGTCCGTCCGTCCGTCCGTCCGTGGTGCTGTTTCAGTGGCCAAACCGTAAGAGATAGATATAGAGAATGTTTAAGTTATAAGTTAAGAATAGTCTGATAAGACTACAAACCGGATGTGAGTAACGTAGCACTTCCGGTTTTCGAGAAATCGAATTTTCTATTTCAAACGAAACCACACAAAATCTCCGAAGTTCTCAATTAATGTATTTAACATTTCTTTTTTTTTTTTGGTGAACATTTGGTTCACTGGTTTGCTAGTTAATCATAGTTGTTAAACTTTGTATTTTATTACGCGCGATATGCATCCTGCTTACGCGAAACAGCATCAGCACAGTCGCGATTTAACCAGCGGTTACGTGTACCTTTACTGATAAGATCAGAATGTGGAATGTAATACTTCATTCCCATTACGATCTCCTAAGTAATAGCAACGGCGCTGGTCGATAGGTCCCTGCCACTGCAGCAGCGCTGCTTCCCTGGTACGGACGCAAAGTAGTCGCGAATAATATCCCAGTCTGCCGACCCAAAGTGCCATACTCTGCGTTTGACCACCAATGGTCGCAATGTTTTGGCCTGTGGCACCTTGGCCAGTGAGGCTCGAACCACAACCCTATACTCATTCGGATGAGTCGTAAGCCGAAAAACTAACATGTTTTAGAAACAAAGTTTCGTGTGTATTTGTGTTTTAAATGTTTTAAACTTTTGCTGGAGAACCGGTTCTACGCATACATACTCTACTAAACCGGCTGTCGGAAGACATCATTGCACACGGCACTATTGTTACCATTGAGGTTAGAGAGAAGGAGAATGCTCGCTGTAGAAAATAGCGTCCCAGAAATATGGACAAAATAAGTGAGGCGCTGCGATCGCTAAATTGTCTCAATAAAAGCGGGCTACTTTGAACTGACCGACCAATGCCGTGAAGAAAATTTTATACATTATTCAACTAACTGTATCTACTTGTACTCATAAAAAACTAACTTCACAGATACTACTTACCGACGGCAGTGCGACTGGTGGCTGAAAAATGAACTATAAATTCTACAAATTTTCAGGGACAGGCGGGCGAATGCTTTAGCATCGTTCGCTCGTTCTCCTCTCTAACCTCCATGATTGTTTCTATGAAGGGACAAGAATATTGCACAAGTGACGTTTAGCGACCAAGGTCGGCGCGTCACTCGTGTCCAAATATTCGAATTACGATTTCAAAGATGGATTATACAGATTATACAGAGCTAATTTATAAACGCACATATCAAAAATGAAACTCATTACAGTACTGCTAGCTGTACTGTAAAATCATTTTTTAACCATTATAGTACTCTTTTATTTTTTAATTTATTAAATTATGCTATGCTATTAGGCTCAATGTGAAAAAAGAGGCGCAAGAGGACTCACTGTGAAAAAACTCTCGTGTTTTTATACCCCTTCTTATATGACGGTGGCATAACTACTATTATTGTAATTCTTTACTTAAACTAAATTAGTTATTAAGCCGCCACACGTCGGCGGGAATCGAGCGCGCGCCGTGCTGTATCGGCTGCACGTAAGCGACGCGCCTCTGCACTAAGCTGCTGTCCCTGCGCGCACAGTACTCACCGATGATGGGCAGTGTCATCTCCTGCGCGGACATGCCTTGCCGCCGCCACACGTCGGCGGGGATCCAACGCGCGCCGTGCTGCATCGGCCGCACGGAAGCGACGCGCCTCTGCACTAAGCTGCCGTCCCCGCGCGTACAGTACTCACCGAGGGGCAGCGTCATCTCCTGCGCGGACATGCCTTGCCGCCGCCACACGTCGGCGGGGATCCAGCGTGCACCGTGCTGCATCGGCCGCACAGAAGCGACGGGCCTCTGCACTAGGCTCCCGTCCGCAGTGCGCACGGTACGGTACGCGGTCGTCGGCTTGGGTGCAAGCGCTGCCTTCTTTTCGAGCTCATACCTAATACGAATAAAAGCATAAGGTTTCTATTTTCTTAATTTATTATAACTTAGGATTTAAAAGAAGAAAGGGCAATATTTAAATAATACTCAAAAAAACGGCAATGTGCTGATCACATGCGATAGTAGTCAAAGCTACAAAAATGTGAACACGTAAAAGTTCTTCAGCCGCCCGCGGCTTTATTTGCTACCAGCTATTTTTAATGTATTTCTTTAGTTATGTTTTCTTATCTTAGTTATTTTTCGAAATATATATTTATAAAAAAAACTGACAAAAAAATTCAAACATTGGCAAGGTAAGGTAATTGTTGATAAAAACCAAGCCTGTATTAATAAACAACTTAGGCACCTACCAAACGTTTCATACTAAACTATTCAGGTATTGTAAAATAATGGGAAATTTAAAAAAATCTATCCCGAAGAGATAGCACTACTGCTGTATGTACGTAAGAAAAGAGAGTTCAAGAAAAAAAAGAAACAGTGGTGGGTTCTCTCTTTATCGGAATAATCTGATGAGGAATTATCCCAAATTGATGGTCTTCTTTGAATTTCGATAATAAACCTTTCAGTATCGTAATTATCCATCACTATGCAATTAACAAACAATTAAAATATTAAAATAAGCAATTAAAAAACAAAACATAACAGTGGCCACGAGTTGCAAGGAATGAGGTGGGGGCGTCACTGGCGGCCGAGTGTGTGAGACACCATACAGCGCTATAGTAATTAGTGGTGGCGCGGGCAGCGTGGCGGCGCAACCAATAACATTCTGTGCACGCGTCCGAGTAGGTCGCGGCGCCAAATTGGTTGCGCAACCAAACGGGCACCAGGTGAGCAACTCTCTATAGAGCAGTATAAATTTTGTTGGTAGCGGGACTGGTTGCGCCGCCATGGTGTCCCGGTGAAATATAGCCCTAACAGTCCGGTATCTATTAAGAGCTGCTAAAACTTTTTAACTTTTTTTATTAGAAATCAATACAAAAAGAAAACATGTAGGTAAAAGACAACATACATATGTATGTTAATTTATTTATTTAAATGAAAAACTATAATTTTTATTTCCAACCAAATAACAAAATACAAAAAACTAATAAATATGCTAAGCCTCTCATAAAATAATTACTGCCATCATCATCCTTATTTTTTTTTTCTTTCTTTCACGAAATATTTATATTTGTTATAGCAACTCTGTGTATATATTTTAAGAAGTACGCGACTGCTCCTTAGCGACGTTGAACTACGACTGACAAAGTTAGCGACAAAAGGTCAGGTTGACAAGGGTGACAGAGACGGCGCTATACGAAACCGAAGCTAGCCGAGTATCTCTTTCTAAAGCTCGATGCGACATATAAATGGCCGGGTACTGTATGTATATCTCAGTTTTTTAGTCAGGTCGAGTCTAAATCATGCCAAATGTGGGGATTAATGTATATGACTAATACGTATCTATTTGTCTTATGCTGTTACACCTTAACTGTTCTACCACTCCATATGTATAACGCTAAAAGTATGTTGGATGTATCATGGTAAATAAATAATACTTACCCTCTCTGTGCAAGTCGTTTTTCTGCACTAGACAATTTCTTCTCTTTCCTGTCCACCAATAAGGATTCGTGTTGGAAGGGTTCCTTGCTCAATGATTTCCAATGTTGCGTAATAATACCTTGCATCAGGATATCAAGGTATTTATCTTTGTACTCAGTCAAATCTTTTGGTTCTGATTCCTTAAAAAAATATTTATATCAACCAGTTTCAAGCAATTTCAACCAGAACATCAATTTTAAAGTTAATTTGCTACTTGCTTGATATTTTGTGCAGATATAAATTGTATGACCTATAAGATTATTGTTTTAGATAATTGGCAAAAAAACAATACTTAGTTCAACTTACTTTTTCATCATTGTCAAAACAAAGGTTGGTGATTTCTTTCATGGAAAGAACAGCATCCGGATTGCATTCGTCGACCACACGATCAGCCATGCCCTGTTTGTTGATCTGACGGTCGTAGATCTTCTTTTCGAGACACCAATCCATTACGAAACGATAAACGAAACAGGGCTTCTTTTGACCATACCTAATACAATAAATAATACAAAACAAACACATCAAAAGTGTCAATTTCCCACACAAAGTCTCTAAACTGATTCTTTTTATTCTTTCTTTTTACAAAATTTAGGGGCACGCACGTATGTTAAAATCTTGGGTATAGGAGTAAAAGTAAAAAAAAAGTTTATTTTTCAGACGAATTGAGTATATACCATTGAATGAATAATGTTAATTGCAAAAATATACTTGATCCTTAGACTCCATGTGCTTTATATTTATTCAAAGACTTTATAGTAAAATGAGTGATGTGGATTATGAAATTCTCAAATAAAGGAATAAGGAAATGATCTTTTAACGATGATAGAAATATATCTACCTGTAGACTCTGCATACGGCTTGCGTATCGTGGCAAGGGTTCCAACTGGCGTCGAAAACGATTACTCTATTGGCACCCACGAGATTGATACCCAAAGATCCAGCCCTGGTGGAAACCAAGAAAAGATAAACGTGCGGATTGGCGTTAAACTCATTGATTAATTTCTCACGTTCCAACGCATGTGTAGAACCATCAAGACCTGGAACAATTACGTTTAAATATTATTTTGGCTTCTGCTTAGAAGAACCTGAAAAAGTGTTTAAATACTTATATAAAACAACTTACGATAGTAGTTTGTGTTTCTTTCCCATCTACAGTTTGTGCCAGGAATGTAATTTCTATCTAAGAAATCCTCAATTAAGTTCAAAGTAAATAAACTCTGACTGAAAAGCAATAGGCGGTCTCCCATCTTTATACTCTCATTTAATATGTAGAAGAATAACTCCATCTTAGCTGAATTCTCTATTAAGCCTGGTATATAGTCTTTCAACAACTCCGCGGCCCAGTCATAAGTTACTTCTTCTGCTTTCTTCACCATAGCTAGTTCTTCTTCTCTGTTCATCTTTTCTTCTTTTTCACTTTCCTCAGAATCAGAATCACCATTATTTTTTTCTTTTGAGGTTTTTCTGTCTTTCCTTCCCTTAGCTTTCGTTCGACTTTTAGGTTTGGATTTATCTGTCTTTTTATTGTCTTTGCCTTTACTTTTCTGCTTTCCTTTCTTAGGAGTTTCTTCTTCAGAATCAGAACCAATGCTTTTAGATACTTCTAATTTTGAATCTTTCTTTTTCTTAGGCGTTGTATCATTCGATGCAAGAATTTCTGGCTTTGTTGGGGTTTTAACCTCATCTTTAACAATTTTTTTTGTATCTAAATCTTCTATTTTCACTTCGCCGTCTGATTCCGACTTCATCTCAAGTTTTTCCTCAGCTTTGAGTCTATCGATATCAGTTTTTAATTCTGTAATTGGCCACGAAGTCACTGGACTACCTGAGCTTGCGCTTCCCAGAGGTGGCTTTGTCTCCAAATGTGATGGGAAATTAGTATATTGAGTTGGAAAAGTACCGTTAGCATTCTCATTCGAACCAGGCGTGAACCCTGGGGCTGTAGAATTTCCTTGATAGCCATAACCTGAATTGGAATAAGAGTCTATTGCTGTATTTTGAGGCATACCCACACTAGATTCTGGTTTAGCCTCATTATTGTGGTAAGCTTGCGTGTTCGGTTCATTCTTAATAGGTTGATCGGCAATATTGTTACCATGTTGATTTGGTGGCATATTATTTTGATAGCCTGGCATGTTGTTCGAATAATTTGGTGGCTGATTTTCGTATTGATTATACGGCGCACCATTAGGGCCATAAGTCGCATTTGCGGAATAATTAGGAGGATAAGGTTGATTAGGAAATTCTTGGGAAGATGGCCCCGGCGGTGCATTTGAATTGTAGTCAGGATATCCAGGTTGACTATACCCTTGATAAGGTGGCCTCTGTTGATTTGCATATCCTTCTTGATTGTTTTGGTAAGGTTCCATTGGAGTACCAGAATACGCTGGATTATGTTGTTGCGGTGGGGGATTATAGTTAGGTGGAAACTGCTGAGGATTATTAAAATCAGAGGGGGGATTGCCTCTGTAATCTTGTGGAGTTTGATTGTTGGGATATTGCGGATTATTATAATACCCAGAGTTTCCGTAGTAATTGCCGCTACCCCAATAGTTCTGGTTATATCCCTGTTCTGGATTATTTGGAGGATATTGATTTGAGTAGTTATTGCCATAGGGTGGTTGTTGTTGATAGTAATTATTGTCATAGTTTTGGTTGTAGCCTTGATTCGGTGGGTAATATCCAGGGCCAGGATTTTGGTAATTTGGATATGGAGGAAACGATCCGCCAGGTTGATCGGGTCGATATGTGTTAGGTGGTTGGTTATACGGTCCATTTGGAGGATATTGGCTATTATTAAAAGCATTCGGATCAGGTCTATTCGCGGTAGCACCCGTTGTATTTGGCTGTATGGTAGCTGCAGGCTTTTTCGATGCACCCTGAGCAATAAAAAGAAAATATAGGATAAAATGGAGAACCCAAGAAAAATTCTTTAGATTTATAAATCTCAAAGTTAATAATAAAATAAATGGAATAAATGGTTTAAATTTCAACTTGATACCTTCACGCATTCATGTGATAAAGTGCCTTGTTAGACAGACAGATGGACAACAAAATGATCCTATAAGGATTTCGTGTTTTCCTTTTGAGTTACGGAATCCTAAAGAGTAACTTAAAAATTGCCTACTACTATGTAAATAATGTATGTATATGTATAATAAAAATAAAATATATATAATGTATTACCCTTGGTTTAGCTGGCCTCCCAGGCTTGGCCTTACTAGCTTTTGCCCTTCCAGCTTTGGTGACTCCACCTATTTCCTCCAAATCTAAATCCTCTTCAATAGCTGCATTAACTTCACTTCGCTTCTTCAGAAAGTTGTACAATACATCAGGGTGATTCCAAATCTAAATTATATAACAAAATATATAAGATTTCTCTCATTATCATCACTACAAATAATAAATACCACAATAAGTTTTTTCTTATTGTCTCATAAACAGCACTTACCTTACAACAAATAGCAAATGCCTTTAAAGGATTTGGTACTGAAGTAGAACGAACTACTTCATTCATAAATCTATCGTATAACTTTCTTTGTAATGGCGTCATACGCACTAACAGCACGTACTCTTCCTTTTGCGGTAACGTAGACTGTAACACTGCGTGAGAACGTCTGTAAACAAAAATTGCATTGAATTTTTAACAACCCAGCAACTAATGTATGAATGAATAATATGAAAGAATCCCAGGTGGTTCCAGTACGAATTAGTTTAAGATCGTTAATAGAACGCTCTCAACTCTGAGAGCAATCTTGAGATCGATCTTAAGAAAGCAGTTTTGTATTAAAACAGCATCACAAGATCATGCTCAAGATTACTCTCAGAGTTAAGAATGTTCTATTAATACGGGCCTTAGTATGCTAATAACTACACATCAACCAAAGACTATATACATCCACCACTTACACCAATTATTAGCCTAGACCTAAAGTAAGCACTGTAAGTGTTATGGGATACTAGGGTAACGGATAAAATATATATAGTGATACATACATACGTAAAGTTTATTTGCCTAGAAATACATATAAATATCAATGACTTAAGTGCAAATGCTCTAATTTATCATACAAACATTTAACCCACAGGAATGGAGGGAAACCAATTGCAACACCTTGAAATGAAACCCGGCGTATACACCACACAGGCCACGGAGGTCGTCAAAGATGGATTAGTCAGAATAGTGCATTCAGAGCTTGTCTCTACACCACAAATAATTTTAAATTCAAGTCCTATCGCAATTCCTCACTGTTATTATCTATGGATAAAACTGATCTCTGCACAAAACCAACGAGCAGTGCATAAGACGAATGTTCTGCGCTATAGAATCTATACACTGGCTGTTCTGAATGGGCCGTTCAAACGCAAATAAATTTCAAGTCCATTTATAATATACAGGATGGTCCAATTAGTGACGTCAACATTTTTTTTTTAAGATTCCTCGCACCTGGTAGTGTCATGCTAAAGTTATTTTACAGGAATTTTAATTAAATTTAATTTGAAATTACATTTTTAAGTTTAATTTACCATAAAAATGATAAAAAGTAGATAAAATAATTTTTAATGATTTAATCATGTTTCAATGATTTTTAGCCTATTCGCCTTCGAAATCCAAATACAACCAAAATAGGCTGATTAAGTACTATTTTTTTATGATTTTTGGTAGTTTAGAAGCATGCAGTTTTTAATTTTAGCCAGAAGCTATGGAAACTCCTTTTTGTATTTTTAAATTGAAGGTGAATGTTTGAGTAAATCCTACTAAAAACTAAAGTTCCAACTTTCAAGCCTTTTTTGAGTAACTTTAAGTAATTTCAGGAAGCTGTTATTTTTTTAATTAAAACAACAGGCGAGACAATTATGTCACAAAAAAAGACTGCAAAAAACCTACAACGAAAAAAGATACGAATTTTTGAAACCTCGCCGGCAGAAATCATTAAAAATACACAAAAAAAATAACTCGAAAATTAAGAAAAATCGGGGAACATACATGGGGTATTTTCGGATAGTCCAAGGTGCGAGGAATCTAAAAAAAATGTTGACGTCACTAATTGGACCACCCTGTACATATAACTGGAATTTTCTATAATTAAAACTTACCTCTGCACAAAACCAACGAGTAGCGAATGTAGAACGTGAGCTCTATAGCGCATAAGACGTATATCTTGCGGTGTAGAATCTATACATTGGCCGTTTTGAATGGGCCGTTCAAACATATTACAGAATTCTGTCTTGCTACCGAGATAGTTTGGTCGCACGAAATCTACCATGCACCAGTATTCAAGCAAATTATTTTGTAACGGATACCCTGAAAAGAACAACACAACAGCGTAAGTTAGAATTACTTACTTAATAATGAAATTATCATAATAAAACCTGTAATGATGTTATTATGTTTATTTTACAGGCATGATGTCAGGTTAAATTGATAGAAATTCGATTAAGACTTTCTGTTAGATTATCAAAAAATAATACTTTTTTTCTTTCGTAAATCAACCAAAAAAGTAGCTAAAATAAAGCGCATCAAAGTTCGTGAGTCATAAAACGTGACATCATGCAAAATTTCAAATCAATATAGCTCTGTAATGATTTGATTATGTGAATAAAGAAAAATACATGTCCAATACTTTTTGATAATCTACCTGATAGACGAAGCAGCATTGATCAAAATGTTAATATTGCAGTGAAACAATAAATAAGTTAGCATTAAATGAAACTACTCACCGGTAAGTACAACCCTACGTTTAGTTCTCATTTGCTTTAAGGCATATGATATGTTGGAGTGTGAATTCTTAATTCTGTGACCTTCATCACAAATAACAAGGTCAGGCCCTGGTTTCACTAAAGCTTCATACATCTCTGAAATCAAAACAAATGTGGTTTTTTAGATGGATACCAAATGCTTTTTACTTTATTGATAGATACTAGATACAAAAAAAAACCTTTAAAACCCTCATATTAAGTAGAACAGACAATTTTTATAATAAAAAAGCTTACTTACGCGTATAATGTTATCTTATTACCAATGTAATAGGACGCTTATTTTGTTCTAAAATATCACAAAGACATGACAGAATTTTTACCTATCAATACTTGAATTTCATTGACGACTTTGAGTGTGACTCTGATAGAGACAAAAAATAGAAGAATAATAGTAAAAACGCTTATACCACGAATATAAATTTTACTGCTAAAGTAATAAAGACAAGGCTAACGTCAAACTGCATTCACTGATCAGCATGGCTATTTAATAAAAAGAAAATGTTTGTGTTAAAATTTATAAATAATTACCATCCAAGAGTTTCTTATCTTCATCAGAGGGAGTGTCTTCTTTCTTCTCGTCTTTCTTAATATCGTCTTTAGTATCGCCATCGAGCTTGCTGTCGCCATCTTCCCTCGAATCTTCCAAGCCCTTCGATTGGTTTGTAATATCTGAATTCTGTCAAATAACACAATTTTTCATTGTACTTATACTATATTTCAAGGCTTGCGCATACTTCAAGCATGATGGACAGTTTGTAAATATTATAAGCAAAAATGGAGCATGACAAGAATCTTAATAAATAAGGACTTATTCTACTAGTATCAAATTTGTGGGATATAGTATCGATTCCAGCATGATTGTGTAAACTTACAACTAAATTTAACATCAGTCTCAGCCTTTCTAATTTGTATAGAGAATAACAATGATACACTGTTGTCTAATTTAATGTGTAGAGAATCGTGCTATAATCGACACCAATGGAGTGTGGTCAGTATGTACTAGAGCATATGCATAACTACTAGCTTGGATGGACAATCTAAAGATAATGATGTCGATTCTGGCATAATTATTCAAAGGAGAATGCCCAATCATGGGCCCCTTTTGAGGTTTCTTGTGCCTCATTCAAATATGTACCTAAAAATCGAATTTGTATTTTGATGCTGGTGACATTTATATTGTAATTTTTTTCACCCTGGGTATTAAGTTATAATTAATTAGATATTTGCCCAATTTCCGCTTGACATATTTTTTTTTATATTTATGGCTTGGTTGGTGACGTATTTCTCGATGGGTATAATGTTGCCAGGTATTAAGAAACTTAATTGATTAATCGATATTAAACTCGTGATGTTCGCTAAAAGTAAATTCGGATTTTTATCAGATTATATAAATAGTAAATTGCAATGTAAGAGACATAAATATTGTAGAAAATCACTCGATTTTTATCTTCATTGGTACTCAAATGATTTTTGTCATTCGAGTTACTCAATGGCATAAGCAGGATTACCCCTCCCTCCCCTCGAACTAGTTCAATCGTATTAAGTCGATGCTATTTTTTAAGGTAGGGTTTTGGTATTGGCATTGCCCCCTAAAGCCCATAATGCACCACCACCACCTAGCTTCGGCCCTGACCGGCTGCCTGATAGCTCACTGAAACATTATTGTGCTTTTATACATTATAATATATTATGCAAGTTTATATCAATATAGTGATGTAGATAGGACCTAGTTTAGAAAAGCATGGAGAAAATGTTATTGTCAAGCTATTTTATAACCTCAATTTCCACAACAGAAAATAAATTATATCTCGTGAACCAGGGTGACTAAATTGGAAATTCCTTTTGAATGTGAATATAGCGTATTTTTATTACAACCTCCAACAACAAACTTCAGGGCACAACTATTTTTCAAAGGGGCCCAAGTCTCCTTACTAAATGGGCATTCTCCTTTAAAACTACATTTAACATCAGTCCCTCGTTTTCATCTATGAAAATCTGAAAGACAAGGATACACTGTTGTCAAATTTAAGTTTAGGTTAAGAGAATCATGCCAGATTATTTGCACAAATTCTCAAAGCTAAATTTAAAGTATGCTGTAGAGATTACAATGAATCAATAGGGCCAAATATTCCCATCCATTGACAGTAACTTTCGCCAGACTCAAGCTGCCTTGAAACGCACATCTGTTCTCTGTTCCGTCTGTGATCTATTGATACCTGATTTTAATGTAAGTGTTAACATAAAGGGAGGTTATTTTCTTGGAGCAAATTGTATAAAAAAGATGGTAAAGTAAGATTATTTCGGCGGGAATCACCGACTATGGAAAAGGTCTGAATTATTCACAAATTCCTAACATTATGCTCTACAACTTTATTTATATACCTCAGGCATTTAAGTCTCAAGAATGGACATTGGCCATCAACCAAATTCAGCAATAATGCTAGATAAAAACATAAAAATGCTACATTATCTAGGGTCTCACACAAATAGTGTTTTAATATCTACGAGTTCTGTCATATATGTAATACAAGTATCATAATATGTTTTTATTTTTATTTACATGAAAATAAAGAATTATCCCACCTGTGTGTCTTCATTGAGACCGTCAAGTTTATCGTTCTTCTTTTCCTCCTTCTCTTTATCAGCTTCTGCTTTCAAATCCGCTTTCTTTTTCTTACGAGGTTTTTTATCTTTTTTCATACTTAGTAACCGATATAACTCATAACCTATCATTAGTACACCACCAGTGGTGGTCCAATCCTGTAAAATTAAATAAAAATCTTAAACAATAGGGTATTTGACAAGTTTTAGGAAACAATCTCACGTTATTGACTAATGTTTATGGAGTCCGTAAAAAGTGGATATTCATCATTCTGTTGTGTATGTTGTTGTGTATGTTGTGTAAAAAAAAAACAAATCAAAAACTCCATTTTCAAGTTGCCGTGAAAACGTTTCTCTGGGCAATATGGCGTCTTACTAGTGTGTGACTTCACACGACTGTTATTAATACGTCAAACGATACAATGTAATGTCACTTTAACCGGAAGTTTACTTGCGTGTGACGTAATTTTAGGCTCCGCCAATCCCAAGCGTTTTGGGTCACGTGGCAATAGATAAGAAAACTATTATCTTTTTTGTGGGTTTTTAGTAAAATTATGAATAATTTTTTTGTAAAAATTGTAAAAACCCCTGCCAGTATTCATTCTAAACACAGATGCTAACAATTGGCACTTTATTTTTAATACTGTCAAATACCCTATTAGCCTTTCCTTTTCATTCCCTTTAGAACATGATAAGGATATACTGCTGTAATAGTTTTAGGCTTAGAGAATCATACCATAATAAGGCTTATTAACAATAGCATAATGAAAATAGGTTATATTTAAAAATAACAGCAGAATGAATCTAGCGTCACATCAACTAATTCTGAAACTAAATTGTCTGTGACAAAATTCTAATAGAAATAGTATTATTTGTGTTTTTTAGTACTTACCTTCACAACCTTTGCTCGCATTTGCAGCGTTTTGTGACTGTCATTGAGTACATATATGGGAAAATTTCTGGGTCTTACTTCACCATGAGCTGATAAAGGACTGTTTGTGGCATCTAAAGGCAGCCACATATTAAATTCTGCTACCTAATAATATAAAAAATAATTGAATTATTAACCTAAAGTTTTAAAATCTATAATAAATGGTCTTTCCAATAAGTTATGTATGGTTAACAAAGATCATGCCGTAACTATATTGATTTTACTTACCCAATTTTGTAATGTATTTATAGGCATAATACATAATACTGTTTTGGAGTTTGTATGTCGTAAAAAAATATCACAGAAGCACACAATTTGTAAAGTCTTCCCCAATCCCATAGAATGTGCTAATATACAACCAAAACCGGTTGAAGACGAAAATCTTTCAACTGATTCAATAATATTATCAAATAAAAACCGCACTCCACCAATCTATGAACAAAAACCAAATTTAGGTTATGAAGCAATTTCTCTTAAACTGTTTGATAAAATAGAGAAAAGAGTTCATTTGCACATACTTGATGTGGTTTAATAATTCTGGCAATTTGTGGTGCAACAAAAATATCTTCTTCATTTTCAGTATGACCAATATTAATCAACACACGGCCTTGTTCATCCGGAATGTTATAACTATCATTGACATGGAGACCTGAGGATATGTGTGATAAAAATATATAAAATTACACACAGAAAATCTTTATGATAATCAGATTCCTAACCCAGAAAAAGTATGCTCATACCGGAATTATTAGGATCTTCATCTGCTTCAGGACTGGGTGGAAGTTCAGAATCTGACAGCATAATACAGTCATCAGAATCGGATGAAGAAGACGATGACTCTTCACCACTGCTGCTATCAACTATTTCAACAACCTGATAAAAAACAGGTGTGTTTAGTTTTGAGATGCGTATTAGGTATAAAACCGCATTAGCTGTGTCATCTAGCTCCTTGTTCGCGCATTTGGTCTGTGACCATGAAAGCAATGGTCAAGTCATAGGATAAATTACCAAAAATTTATTATCTATCTGAATTTGATTATATGTAAAAAAAAATATAAAAGTTCTAGCTTTTACCCGTCACTTTGTTTGCATAAACTTAATTTGTTTGAGAATCCCACGGAGACCTAAAATTTTTTAGTGGTAAAAAATATTCCATGTCTCAATCCAGTCAAAAACTAAAGGTGTGCCAAATTTCATCCAAATCTGTTCTGCCATTTTGGCATGAATGAGTAACAAGCATCCCAAAACAGGAAGTAGGATTCCACACCATAAAAAAATCATAATCAATTTAAATGGGATATTAATATTCATCTCTGTCTACCCCAGAGGGGGCAAGATATTTATAAAAACAGAAAATTAATCAAACCTCTTTCCTTTCACTCTTCTGATTGAGTTTTCCATGCTTCTGTAAAGCAGCACCTGATGTCGTAGGTTTGACAATTTTAGTGACTTCTACTTGACCTTGTTTCACTGTGGTCTTCTTTACTTCACCAGATGGTAGTTTTACTAAAACTGTATTTGGCAAACTGGAAAAACACCAATATATGTTTGCTTGAATAACTATGTTTAGTTCCAGTAATAGGTAGTTCACTCAATTCAGCAGAAATAAAAGTAACAGAGATATAGATAGGCGCCAGGTTCTTGTTTTCTAGACATACCATGCATACTGAGAGCACTTTCAAAAACTATTATAGGCATTACCTGCTCCTTAACTAGGCATATTTAAATTGAGTTTTAAAGGCTAGCTATTTGTTGTATTTATATTAGTTTTATATTAACCATCATATTCCCATGAACTACAAGTATTGAATGATCATGACACAAACTTTATTGATGATAAATTCATTATTTGAAATTACTTACTTCAACTTCTGACCAGGTCCAGATTTCTTTAATATTGATGAGCCTCCTTGTAGTAGAGATAATGTTTTTTGGTGTATTTTATTTTGTCTGTTTATAGCTATTTGTCTTTGTACCTATGTATTAACAAAAATGTAATATTAAGCATTGACACCTCAAAATTTTAACTTTTTAATTGAATTTTTAATGCAATATAATAATGATAGGTACCTCTCTTATAATCCTTTGTTGTTCTTGAACTCTTGCTAGACGCTCTGACTCTTGTCGCTGAGCTGCCAAAGTGGATGCATCTAAATTCTTTTCATCCATTACTTCTCTTATATTGCGGCGAACATTCAATGCATTTGGGTTTAGTGACTTTTTCTAAAAAAAGGAAGAATTACTGTAAGTTCTATTATGCTAAATTTATATTATTGAATATTGATGCAAAATACAAAAAAAGCTGAGACTACCTCATCATCAGGATCATCTTTCTTTTCTTCATTTTCACCTTCTTTTTGTGTTGTGTCCCCATCCTCTTCCTTTTTGATAGGTTTAACACTAATTTCTCCCATTTCTTTAAGCTTCTCTGTAATGTCAAAATCTTGACTGCATTCCTCCTGTTTAATATCTAAAAGTTCCTCTGCAGTTTTATCAGGACATAACTCGGCTTCATCCACCTCTGCTATTTCAACATTCTTTGTTAGATCCAAATCACCTTCATTAATGATATCACTTATGGACAATGTCTTAGGAGTTTCAGTAGATTCAGGGTCAATATTTGTCTCAGCTTCAATGTGTTTAGTAGCTTCGACACTAGTTTCAGGTATTGCTGGAACTTCTGGCAGTTGTGGAGGGAGAGCATGTTGTGATTTTGCACTGGTTTGAACAAGATCACCAGTAAAGGGGTCAATGTAACTTTCATTCTCCTCTTCCAATTCCTGTACAGCACTAGGATTCACGACAAACTCCTCTTCAGACAACCCATCACTTTCAGACTTACTATCCTCACTTGAGAAATCACTTAACTCTAAAATATTGTTTCCTACTAAACTGCGAATAGCAATACCGGTGTCTTTCTTCAGTTTTTTTGTGAAATCATGAAAATTTTTTACAGCTTCCATTTTTCTTTTATGGCTCATAGGTCTAGGACGAGCGACTGAACGCCGCCGAGAGTTCATTGCAGCTGCTTGAGCAAAATGCGCTCGTTGTATTCTTGCGATGGTCTCGTCATCGTCCTCACTGTCAATTGAGCCATCGGACCCGTCGTCCTCTTCCAATTCCTTCATTTCGTTCAGCAGCGAGTGACTACTTCGAACATTACTCATGATAGACGAAGCAATTCAACCTTTATCAAATTCGCTCAGACTGATGTTCTGTATCTACAGCAAGTATTCATTGTCATTGGCATTTTTACAATTCATTGAAAGCATAATTTTTCTATTATTCTGATATCGCATTCGAAATTTTGCAAAATACCAATGCCCATAAATTCAAATACATTCCAAATTTTTAATATCAAATTCTTTTTATCCAATTCACAAGACGCGGCGTAGCATAGAAAAAGGGGAAAAGCCGGATTTTTACAAATAATCACAATATACACTTGGCCTAATTCATGAACTTTTATTTATGTAACAGATGTTGTTTGTTTATATTATTAATTACTTAAATAATGTATGTCTGCAATTAAATTTTAGGAAGCCATTACTTCCGCAATAAATAGCCTATTCAACTATAGAAATTGTGTATTCGACAAGCGTGTTTACAAAAATTATAAAGAGACGTCACAGTAATTTGACAACCCTATATAATATTGACAATAAAGTTGGAAATTGTTAGTCAGAAAATTTTAGTATCAGGAACTTTACAATCAAAGCATTAAGACTTGTCGAAGAAAAAACATCCTTAATGATATCGGCGTTATGGATAAAGTTAGAGGTTCATTTTTATAGGATGGCAACATTATTGATTTTAAAAGGTTGTCATATTGCAGTTTTGTCTATGGTTTTCCATTTAGCATTATGCGTCCATCACCACCAATCTGCTGGCTGCTAGGCTGCGTTCCAAACAAGCCTACGCTCCAAGGCCTCCAAGTGCCAAATGTCAGTTTTGACACCATATTTCAAGTGGGAAGGTCGTTTTACGACTTTCACAACGTTTAATACGATCGCATCCGATGAAGCCTTAAAGGCCTTCCCGGCCAGAGGCAGCCCCAACCGGTGTGCTTTAGTCAGTAGGAGTCTGACATAACCCTGCAGCCGGCTGTCGGGTATCCATGAGGATTTCACACACGCTCCCCCGCCTGGGAGGAAACAAAAAAAAAACAGAAACAAAAAAAGATTTTTAACCATTGCTGCAAAACGCGAGTATTATTTTGCTGAAGAAGCATATTAGGCAATAATTCCACAAGAATTGACTGTGGTGGAACTCTGTGCAGATGACGATGATTCCAGTTCCAGGGAATCCTTTGAGGCAGGCAGCAATCAGCAACTTGATGACGCAGAAATATCCATTTTAGTTAAATTATTTAGCTCTAAATGTGATATTTTTATTGTATTGTAGTATACATTGTATATGGTACGACTGTACGAGCAGCTGTTTGTGAGAAAGTATATAGGTGTATAGGTATCTATCATCTATACAACAGTGATTAGCTGTACACGTAAAATTTGTGTATGTTGTGTGTTTTAAATATGAATAAACAAAGTACTGCATAAATAAAATAAATAAATAATTATGATTGCATAACTTGATAAAAAATGCTATGCAATAGCTTTGCCGCGGGAATCCCCGAGTGCCACACGTATTTTTATGTATAAAATCTGTCGATGTATATTTGTTTTATCAACTTGCTATTTGTATCGGAAGATGCACTTAATTAAATCTGGTAGAATGTTTACCACTATTAAAAATACCATTAATTCATTTCATAAATTTTTCGTCACATCACTATGAAGTTCTACTTAATATTTTTGTCATTCATTCATCATTTCGCGCCTTTTCTTTTAATTAAATTTTATACCAAAATACTAACTTTGTAGAACTTAAAAATACTTGTATATGATAGGAAACACCATGTTTCAGCAGGATTGAAGTGGCAGATCTGTTTTTGCGTGGAAAAACAATATAATTTGCCATTTTTGTTGGAGCTCCGACTGTTGTGTTCCAAACTGGAACGATCCAAAATGATAGCGGTCGCGGATCCAAAATGTTTTTTTTTATATAACGCATATGGTCCGACGGCCACGTACTTTGGCAGAGGGGTTAGCCCGCCCATGCCATCTCTATTGGTATATATGCTCTAAGCTAAATAGTAGTGAAAAAAATTATAAATGCTGTGTCTATGTTTTTGTATGCAGCCCAATCCGTTTTTGATTTGGGCGGGCGCACAGTGGTCCGGACATAGTGGTCTTAGGACCCAAGGTTAATATTTCGCGCTGAAAAAATTCATGGGGGACAGATAAGTGAACGTTAATTACAGTTTGTCTATAAAGTCGTGACATGAATGTTTGAAGAACTAACATTATTCATGTGTCTGGCAACATCAAACTTATGTACATCAGCTGTCATCGAGTTTCAGTTGTGGAACAGTTTTCCTTTTGTATTTTTTATTGTTTGGATTAAACTGTAATAAATTAAGACGAAACTACGCAGAAAGGTATAAAAATGAGTAAAGTAAATCGGAGTGGCACGCGGGAAGTGATTTTTAAAGTTTTCCAGCGATGTTTCGAAGACTACCAAGCTGGACGAATTTTATGGTATGTAATCGTGTAACTATTTGTTTGTAATCTGCCTGAAGTTACAAATTTACTCAATTTACGATTTTGAGACCAAAAAAGGCATTGTTTACATTGCACATTTTTAGGTTAGATTGACATTGTAAATAGGCAGCGTTGCCAGATACACTGTAATTACAGCAGATCTACTGTATTTTCACACGATCTACTGTACACTGTAATACTAAAATTACAGTGTATGGAGAACACTGTAATTTTTTTAAGGGCTAAAAACTTTTCGGAGCGTTCGAGAATGAGTTTAAAACTTACCGGGCTATTTTTCACCGGATCTCGAACGCACTCGTACTTTAATGTAAGTAAACTGAAGGCAGCCTTTGTAAAAAAAGATTATTACGAACTTGTAGAAAGGAGGCAACCCCTCGTCCCGCGCCACCTCTCTCTCTCTCTGCTTATGATTATAACTCTTGTTACTATTGAAATAAGAATTTACTTATTTTAAACGGACATGAATAGTGGCGCGGTGTATATAGTATGCGGGAATTCCCCGGACGTAGACTAGGAATCATTTCGTAGAGTACGTACGTAGTATTAAGCGCCCAAATTTTGTCAACCGTGTTTAAGCACAAGTTGCATTAATGTTAAACCATTTCATTCCGGGATCTACAAAAAGAAACTGCTGTCGGGCTAAATGATAGTGACAGTGATTAATAAGTAGTTGGTTAGTCAACAAGAAAGTGTATTATCATTTAAATGTAAACAATATAAGTTTCTTGATATCTGCTGTAAAATTTACTGTATATTTTTTTACTTTTACTGTATTTTTGTCTCAAACACTGTATTTTTTGGCACCCAACACTGTAATATCAGTTTCCTCATCTGGTAACACTGTAAATAGGTAATATTGTAGTACGACCATTCCTTTTGATACGTTGATAACGTTCAACTCGGTCACGTTTTCTACCAATTTTGAATTAATTGCTTCATGTCAATAAGTTATTGTTTCTATTCCGTTACATATTTTTTTACTTTTTTTCAGGAAAATCAAAGAGTCGGATAGTCAACGAAGGTTTTAAGAAACATGGAAAATTTTAAACTCCTGGGAAAACAGGCAAGGCCGACCAAAGAAAGAAATGGGCAAATAAAGAACCATGGCCAGATGCTTTTAGTGAAGATACCTATCACTAATTTTACTAACTGCACATTTACAAATTGTTTCTCTAAATAAACTTTTTATATACTATAAAATGATTTTTAGTATTATTTTCTTAACAAGTGTGTTAAAAAACGTCGTATGATGATACTTGTGTGTATTGATGATTACCTAACGGCTCTGATCTCAATGGCACCTCAGCGGTAATCACCAACATAACACACTTTTACACTATAAAGTACTATTTTATCTGTAATCATTTTATTCTGATTCAATTAAATATGCTTGGCTAAACTTTTTATAAGCATAGGTACCTACTATATATAAAACAGAAACAAAATACGACTGTATAGTGTATCTTATTAATTACCTATTTTACTTGAATGAACTGCTAGTATCAAAATCATTTTGGTCCGACTGTATAGGGTTGCTACATGCATACTAGTGGCGCCATCATTTAATGTCACGACTTTATAGAAAAACTATAACTTTTGTTCTAGCAGTTTTCATGTAATCGTATATTTTCGCGAAAAAAAATATTTAAGAAAAAAATATATGGAGCAAAACTGATTTTTTTTTCTCGAAATGTTGAAAAGTGTTAGCAATGATTTGTAAATTATTGTATTACATTTATTTATCAATTTCACCATCAAATCTTTTGCATGCACTTGCAGCCTTGGCCGAAATATAGGCATCAGAAGTTTGAATTTTTTAATTCTAACTATTTGTGTCATTTAAATCATTTATAGTCACATAATTTTCGTATATTTTCAATATTATAAACTTTAAAGTGATTGCTTTCCTAAATTAAAATGATTTCGAAAAATAGATACAAATTATTTTCATATTTTACTTCTTAGTGGTTATCGCTGTTACTCAAAGTGCAGTTAGTGACCGAATTGGCTCTCTTTCATTTTCTACTACTGCTATCTCTTTTTCTCGTTAAGACCCTTGCTAATTGCGCGCTTGTGAATCAAATAAAACAGATGGGAAGTCCGGCTGGAGCGTCAATAGACATTAAAATCTTGAAGAGTCAACATACCTGGAAATTTTAACCTGAAGAAAACTACCTACTTAATCATGGCTGGATTTGGTACTTACCTGGACATTACGTGTTTCTACGATAAGGGGACCTCAAGGACTACAAACGACTGCATCAAGCAATTTTGGACTGCATTTTGCTTAAAATTTCGCAAGAAGCTTCTGAAAAAGTTTTGAATTTTGCAAGATCTCTCACTGTTAACTTAAATCGTAGTTGGACCAAAGCACACAGGGTGCAAAAAACATTCATGAAAAAGCATATGAGCTGGTTAGAAACAAGAATTAAGTGGTGGTGGAATCCGTGAATCTCTCCGAAATTTTTGAAGAGGCCGAAAATTTGTATTATCGTTCCACAGAAGAAGCAGCGGTTTTACCCTTTGTATCTACTTCGAAGGCGACTATTGACATGGGCACTTCTACAGATATCGTATCAAGAAAGCCATTTGAAGACCTAGGAAACAAGCAGAAGAAAAGGCGATCGGGTACATTATTTGACTATCCGAAAGAGGAACTGACTTTTGCTATTATCACAAAACTAAAGTCTAATGGAAAAGAAGTTCTTGCTCGCATCATCGATCATCTTATAAAGAAGCCTGAAAAGGTTGAAGTTGTCGAATCATTTTTATTTATGAATGAAAAGAAGGAGACTGTGCAGGAAGATCAAGTTTTGGCCCTAACTACTTCATTGGATCTTTCAAAGTGGAAGTACCTCACTTTAAGGTCTGCATTGTCACAACAGTTGAAGCTTCCGTCTTACCACAAGTTGTTAGAAGCTAAGAAAAGGTGTTATCCAGATACCAGAGATATTATAATATCAGAAAATGAAGCGAAGG